TAGTATATATATATATATATATATATATATATATATAAAATATATAAATATGAACATATATATATATATATATATAAAATTAAATATATAGATAGTTTTATTATATAATACAAATGAGTAATATGATATTTAGCTATTGTATATAGTGTAAGAAAGCTGATCTTGTAAGATACAGATAAGGTGTTTTAATGTGCACATAGTCGCGTCATTGTCAATAATCATATTACTACGATTAATAATAATTACAGTTTTTTACATCTCGCGTTTTCTTATTCGACCTACCTCATCTACATCACCTACCCACAAATATCGCGATTATCATTACTGTGTATTAATTATATAAATATTCGTTATTATATCATGTACATCAAATGTTTTGTTTTTATAGTTTTAAAAAACTATAAAAACTTAGTTTTATTCTCTTTTATTTATGTCTGAAGATCAATTTATATGTAAAATATTTTATAATTATCTGTGATGTTTTTCAAAAAAAGTTTGTACTTTCTTAATCATTGTTTTATTATTGCTGAAGTTTTATATCATAAATCATAGAATCAAAAAGCTTTGTGTGAGATAGATGACAAAGAAATCTAGAAGTTTGAATTTCAGTCCTCAAGGAATATAAATTAACATTCAACATGTATTATCTTCTCTGTTGGAAAGAAATTCCTTTGCTTTGCACGTGTGATGATAAGAACAGTGATAGGAAATAAAACATCTTTCACATTTCTTTTACATCTTTATTCTTGTAGAACGAAAATTTCAATGAAAACTTACGAAGCTAATGAAGCCGCCGAAAAAGCTTTGTATATTTTAGAGAAAATTCATACGAAGAGCCAAAGGTTACATTAATAGCAATAAGGTATCACGCGGATAGAATACAAGGACTCGTATCAACCCCAATATCCGAAGCCACCCCAGCCACCATATCCTCTTCCACCCCAGCCTCGGCCGCTCCAGTATCCTCCTCTCCAGCCACCCCAACCTCCGTATCCTCTACCATATCCCCAACCACCATAATATCTCCATGGTCGTCCGTATCTGAAATATTATAGACCGTTTGATTAAGATGAGTAGTAGCTTAAATTTCAAAGAACTTTCTTATTTATTTAGCGCGAGTTACGTTTAATTTAAAATTTTATGAATTTTTACATATAGAACGGAAACTCGCTTTTCTAACGTCGGATGATTTGGTAAACTTCGAAATCGATTTTTTTATTAATGACTTTTTAGAAAAATTTAATAAATATTGAGATTTGATAGGAAAAATTATCAATTAATTTGACAAATCAATCTATCGATTCCAAGTAATCTTTCCATGTTTTGTTATAAATTAGAAACATTATATTCATTATTTATAGGCGAAAGAAAAGGTTAAATGGAAGATATTAGTTATACTGCATATCGGTACGATTTCTAAGTCATAATTCTAAGTCATAATCATGATTATGCACGCAACCTTTATAAAACAGCTATGGATATTCTATGTATCTGCATTCTATTTCTTCTATCTCTACCATTAAATTATCATTCAAAGTGTCGTGAATGAGAAACATGAAAGATCTCACAAACAGGCTGCAACCGAAGTATGCGTTTATATATACATTTAATGCATTTAAAATTGAAGATGTCTTTGTTTTAGATATCGATCGTGCAGATTTCCTAGCATTTTCTCATATACTTAAAATACTATACTTTTCTTATCATTTATGTCATTGTTTAAGTTTCTATTTTAATAGAATATACTGTTTTAGAATAGCTGTTACACATTCTCCGAAGACGATGACTTCACTTGCGAGAAATGAACGAGACGGGCGCGCTAAATTATTGCAAATTGATTGTCGCAGCTCGCGTTAGCGTTAATTGCGAGTTGAAATGCGTCATTTATGCACGCGACCAATTAGAGTGTGTATGCGACGAAATTACGAAGAACGCGTAACATATATAGATTCGTGCGCAGAAGTGGCACGTGGTTGTGAATGCGAATGAAGAAACATTACGAGACCACAAAAGTGCAATATTTTTTCTGGATTGTCTTCCGTTTACGCGACTGTCATCTTTACGAACGCTTCGTGCGCCATAAGCGAGCAAAGCGCATACAAAGTATGCCTATATAAAAAAAAGTATGTAATCATTGTTGAGTAAACTTCGATTACGAATGGAATACGTGATCGCTGTTTGATATTTATTGTTACAGCCAGTCCCGACTACGCGTCCCTCTGAATAGTAAGAGATATTAAAAGTACTGGGGGAAGTACCCCCGTTATCGATAATTATCAGGCTCGGACTCGCCTTCGACGCTTACGTTCTTCGTCTGGGACAGGACTGTTTTTATCGCGCGACAACTTAATTTCGCTTGATAATTTTAACGAACGTATTCATCACGCGAATCTCAAATTGCCAGCTTCACGAGAATGACGTGTAGCTTCTTCGCAGCGATTGCGACGAATGTGCGCAGAAATAGGGTATATTTAAGAGATACAAATTTGTTTTTCCTCCCCTTACATTTATCATATTGTGAATTTTGATATTAGCAATTTGTAGATTTTTTGAAATATCAAAGTTATATATTTATCGTAATTAATTTCACGATTCCTAAATATCTAAAGTTGCTGAGTATTCATTGAAATAATAGTTTTGTTGAAATATCTAAAAATTCGGTCATATATCAATCTGAAAATAATTTTGTTGATCATTTTGTCAAAATAATCATTAGGATATTTAGCATAATATTGCAAAAATTTTTATTCTAACAACCAAATTAAATGTTCTATATAATTATTTTGACAATCTAATAAAATTATTTTCATATTTGTATTTGGCCAGATTTTTAGATACTTCAGCAAATCCATTCTTTCAGTGTTGGATTTATGAGTTTCTTGCAGGCCGAAAATCAATGGGATAGAAATTAGGGGACAGAAGCGATTTGCGATTGAACTCACCCCCAGTAGGTCGCATCCGTTTCTAAATCATTGGCGTTCGCATTCGGTTGTGGTTCAAACTCACTCTGCACATTTGGTGGAGCTTCTTCATTTTCCACAGCAGCGGCGAGAAAGGCGAATGCCGCGAAGAAGAAAACCTAAAATCAATTCATCACGATTCACGCTTGTTATCATATCTTCTCCTGATGAATCGATCTTCTTAACGTAATTTCAATCCGATCGAATCCACAATTTGTTTCGATACAATTTAAAGACATAGGGAGCAATTGCACTATGTTACGCAATATTATCGCTATTCTCTCATCTCCTGGGAAATTCATTTGAGAAATCTTCAATCGATAGATAATAATAACATTTTTTAACAGACCAGACAGATATTAAAATAAGCATTTATTTAAAAATTTTTTTTTAATCTCGATCTTCATTGATATATTTTCATGACAATCCAGAGTTATCTTGTATTACTAATTTATACAATTTATATTTAACTATTATAATATTTCTAATCCGGACTTGATTATGTCAAAGGTAGTTTGTTTCTGTGTATTTCAGTGTTACATCTAGACTGATCGGTCTCGGAATTATGTTAATTAGATATAAGTCGGGCTTATCTATCGCGACTGACGTCTCGAAAAAGCGCGTGCACATGCGACGCGAAGAAAAAAATGAAAAATATAAAGAATAAAGAAGAGGAGACGAGAGAAGATCTCGACGTCCAAGACGAGAGAGCTATGCAGATCACTTACGAATTGCAATGGTCGCAACATATTGGAGACTGATTTCATTTCAAGTGCGGCAGGCCTTATATACGCGGCCGATCCGACGCGTTTTCGTCGAGACGAGGGGTACGCACGCACCAACACGTGCACGCTCGTCCGCACGCTTGTCTTCGGACTTTACCTGCGGTTTCGCGAGCGAGCGAGCGAGCGAGCGAGCGAGCGAATGAACCAACGAGTAAACGAATGAAGAAGAAACGCGATGACCGAGCGACGGAACGAGAGTGTACCAGTTGCGGCACAAAGAGCCGCAAATGGGAATGTCAATGCCGAGTGTTTTCGCGAGATCCCAGGATCCCGCGATGCTCGCGGAGGCGCCGAGGACGTGATCCTCGTAAAACCCGAGACAAGCGTAATTCGACCTTGCGATTTCATCGCGCCGATAACTCGTCGTCGGTACTTAATATTGTCAGCCCTTTGTACTGTCTCGTTGCGATTGATTTTAATATCTTCCCTGAAGTACAGCAGAGTATTGACAGACAGAAAAGCATTCCTTAATTTCGAAAAGATCGAGGAAGAAAACAGGACGATTCGTTTTTATTTTATAAAAACAAGTAAAAATATTGATGATTAGATTGCCAGAGCTATATTAATAAGCGTCTATCAACTGTTTAGCATTAAGAATGAAAGTAAAACGTGTTTGGGAATAGAAATTAAGTGAAGAATATATCTTTTCAGCGTTTAGATGCATAGCCGACATTAAAATGACTGATGCTTTTTTCGGTTCTCCAAATCTGATACTTAATACGATAATCTGTTAATTGTCATTAGAAACTAATGCCAAATGTCACTAAAAAAACGATTCTATTTTGACATATCATTTGAATTTAATTAATAAATATTCCATTGCCTTTATTTTCCCGTAAAAATTCCGAGCGAAAATACACGAATCTTATCTTTGAAAGATATCTTATCATAACTTCTTACTTTAGAATTAGATTACAGTATAAACAAATAAATAATTATTCGCGTAATGCGTCAAGATTTATACGAAGAAAACGGACAATTTAATATATATAATCATTTAGTAAGTGTGTCTCTAATAATATTTCTTGGTATCACTTCATTGGCAAAAGAGATTCCGGGAAGACGCGCTTTGGTTGCTGAATCTTTCCAAAGGACCATTTACGTTAGGGGGATGATAATGATCGACGGCCTGAAGATCATAATTCTCAGAATCCTATGTGTTGTTCTTATATGCAAAAAATATCTAGAGAAAAAAATAATCGACTTCTTGCGGTCTGGATTAGAGATGCTGAGTTGTTAAGCGATGTTAGCAATTAATCATCGTTATTATAGCCCAGCATCATCACATATTATATCTTTGCATATTTTTTAAATAATATTTCTATATGTATGACTTCTATATGTATGACTTAATTGTAGAAAAATTTTTATATAATTATCTTTAGTAATATTAGCAATTAAAATATATTAAAATAAAGATGAAATTAATGTTTAAGTTGAGAAATTTAAAAAGATTAAAGGATAATATTTCATGCTTTAAATGCATAAAAATCATTTTCATTTTTGTTTTTATCAATGATACTCACAACCTAGAAGTTACGCAATTTATATTTTATTTAAGTAAAAGTTATCTTTTGCTAGTTCTGTTGTTTTTCTGTATATTTTTTAAAAATTCATGAAAAGATGATCATTAAATAAAGAACTGTGTCACTGCAAGGTTAATATTATATATATATTTTTTTTTACATAGCTACAAATGTTCTTATATTTATATTCTTATTATAAACGGTGACATGTCCAGTCCGGTATCTTTATTGTGTAAATTAAAAATTCGGTCGAGGATGTAATGTCTGGATTTGCCACAGTCACGTTTTAAGTAGAGTATTTGTGGTATTCTTAAAATAACGTAGAATTATATAATAGAATAGAAACTCTTATACATGTCACACAAAAAGAATTGCAAAAACCTAGATGAATAATCTTTTGGAAATATTTTGACTTGTCTATAATTTTTCGGATTATCTTACTGTATGCTTTGCACTTGAAAACAATTAAGGTAAAATTCTCTTTCTCTCTCTTTCTCTCCTGTATTGACTTAAGGTAAAAATTATTTGTTAATAAAAAAATAAATATAAAAAATGTGATATTGAATTATATTATTATCCGATTCACTTCTGATTATCTGAATATTTGAATTAATACATTTTAAGAC